ACTCAGCAATATCTATATTTTCGCTCCACAAATAGCTAGTCGTGCTTTTATGTTCATTATGTTTTGAGTTAGTGTTTGATTAAGTTAGTATTATTTTGTTTCAGTGTGATAGCTTTTGGTAGTTATTTGTTGTTTTTGACACAAAGCTTCTGTAACTATCAAATTCAGCGATGTTTAATGTCATTTGTATTGAGGACTAGGCTTATAGCAGTTCTCTTTTTTCAGTTGATGCTGTGAATGTCTTTCTTTCTCCTTTGTCCACTTGGTAGCAACAAAGCAATTGCATTGTATTGTACAATGTTGACACATTACCATAAATGTTGATATGGCTAATGTAAACAGTTGGTTTTACAGAGTGCTCTGGGGATGATGTTTTTCTGTAGGCTGATGCAGAAGTTGGTGTCACCTTGGTTCCCTCATTGAAAAACCTGTGGGATTTTTCCATTGGATTGCAGATAGATAATAGTTACATGTTTTATTCAGCAAGATAATTTTCACAAATGAACAGCACTTTTAGGATTTTTGAAGCCCAAATGCAATCACCAGAAGTAAAAAGCTAACATTAAGGTTATAAATAAACTACACACTGTCACATGACTAAACAGCCCTCCTACTACGAGGCTGTGTTGTTTGCAACCGCCTTTTTAAAGATATCATCATGCGTGGGGTATTAAGTGACATATTTTATGCCATAGGACAAAACGTCTCTTCAGACCTTAGTTTAGGTATCTAACCAAAAACCCACTCACTTTAAGATGAGGGAACCGGGAGTGCAAAAATGCTTGCTCATGTCTGGGTTTCAGGACTCATTCCTGGAGCACTCTTCACACACCCAACCGATACAGAACACAGTAAGCACAATCTATGTCCAATATTCACTCATCTTTCAGCTCTATTTTTAGTCTCCACCAACTCTTTCGAAAAATATCTCTCTTTAGCTGCTAAATGTTCCACTATGTTCACCAGCTAGTCTCTAACTGTGTCTGTTGCTGTTGAGCAGGGAGTGTACAGTGATTTTATCAGAGCTCTTTCAGTGAAACAGCTGCTGCTGGAGATGGGGTTGATGAGAGAGATGAGAGTGAACCAAAACAGTGAAGTTTCAAGCTGTACAACCAAAACAATGTGCTGAAAGATGCTAAAACAAACATGATCTGATCACTACTTTTCATATTTTGACACTTGGGCAGGAACCACCAGCACTGTTATAATGACACCAGGGGGAAGCCTTTTATGATTAACAGAAAAGGGTCATTGGTAAGTCAACTCATGCAAGCTGTTGTCATGCACCATTCACACGTTTTACTATGAAAAGTACTGCACCAAAATTCATACATTACCTATGTAATGATGAGCCCTTATTGCATTAACCTGCATTAACCCACTTATTTTGGAAGGCTGTGATCACATGAACAATGCGCTGACAGCAGTAAAGAGGGAAGCAGAAGCAGTCCCAGGCGATTGAGTTAAAAGGGAGGCTGGGGTAATGGAAGGTCACAAAACACAGGACTTTTCCCCAGAGACTGGCATTTGGAATCGTGTGAACTTTGAGTCATTTTAAGTTACATCCTCACCTTGCTTCTTTTCTTTTTCTTCTAAATCTAACCACAGTAACTTTACTTGCCTAGACCTAACCTCCTTAACGTTATGTTAATTACATAACTTTACATCAATCGTGGGGCACTAATTCGTAAAATATCAGATGAACCCTTGTGTGTGCATTCTCGTAGGATATCATATGCAGTGTTGGCGTTACTGTAACGCGTTACAGTAACGCTGTTAGTTTTGGCAGTAACTAATACTCTAACGCGTTAGTTTTTAAATTCAGTAACTCAGTTACCGTTACCAAACGGTACGTTACTCCGTTATTTTTGGCCAGGTTTTAAAACGGCGCACAGCATGCAGTATTCCTTCACAAACTGAAGTTCCCTTTCACTAAAACATTTTAGCCCTACACAATAAAAGATAGTCAAGTCAGATAGAGGTATATGAACAATTCTTACCAGAGCATCTTAATGAAACACGTCTGTCGCCATCTCTAAAGTCACTGTCGACCTGCTGGCCTCCCCACAGTGCTGTTTTGTTACATTAAGCAGTAGCGCTTCTGTAGGTTTTTAGTCCCAGTAACGCTATATCCAGCGACGTGATATCCATTGTTATCCCGAGGAAGCTTTTGTTGTGGACAGACAATGTCTGCAGTGGGTGGCAGACTCGACACCATTATGTAGCTCTTCAAATGTTCTCTTTAGCTCACTTTCCATATTTGTATCCAAGTAATGTTACCTTAGTTGTAAAATGTTTAGCTGCCTGACAGCGAGTGACTCCACTGTAGAAGACGGTTGCATGTTTCCTATACCGTTCAATCGTTTTGTCAAGTTGTAGTCTAACAGTCCCTTGGTTAAACTCCATCCACTGTCGCTTGGGCGATGTAGCTACAGGCCAATACAATACTATATACAATTTTTTTTTAACGCATTACTTTTTTTAAGTAACTGAGTTACTAACTGAGTTACTTTTTAATGAAGTAACTAGGAACAGTAACTAGTTACTACTTTTCAGTAACTAGCACAACACTGATCATATGAACCATTGTATGAGGATATATTGACTTAGACCTTAGGATCGGCAGTTAGGGTTAGGCAACAAAACTACTTGGGTAGGGTTAGGAAATGATTGTGGTTGACGTGACTAAGGGCTCATGTGACTCACATCTGATGTAACAAAATAGCTCAATGTTGACTTTTAGTATCACACAGGACACAAACCCTGGTCTCCTCGTCCTACAGCCTGGTCTCACTCTGAAGTCGTCAAAAAATGGCGCTTGATCAGTGAGCTCTGGCGCCAGACACTGATGAAAGAAGCTGTCCTTTCATGTCAGCCTGATACGTGGCCAGTCACTGTTGCTGTTTAACGGCACCCAGCAGCATCAGGAGGAAACACAGTGGAACAACAACGAAAGTTAAGGTGGCAGAAGTCCAACAAGGGCGGGGGGGTGTGAGGGGTGATGGATGGGTTCAACAATCGTTGACTTTCACCTGGGAGGCTGGTGTTTGCTTCCCGTAAGATTCTAAGTCCAGACCCTGTTATTTTTTCCTAAACCCAACCATGTGTGTGTATGTTGGCTAAATGTAACCATGTGCATTTGTTGTTGAAGCAAAAAATGTAAATTTGCAGTGTTGTACCAACATAGTGTGTTTATTTTGAAGAGACTATGCAAACTCTACATTTTCTGTGAAAACTTAAGTGTATCTTTAAAACAGACAATGCATGTAACAGGCTGAAGTTGACACGACATCCCAGAATGTGGAAAGTCCATGACCAAACATTGATATGTGCAACACATTCTCACTCCAGCCTCGTCACATATAGATGTTTGGTAATGGACTTTTCACGTCCACATATGACGTGCAAGGTACCCTGGGTACGTTGGTTGTTGACATTCTGGGACACTGTGTCAAGTTCTGCCTGTTACATGCTTTGCCTTCTTTCAAGATTACTTCTTTTTATAGGAAAGGTCTCTTTTACAGTCTCTTTCAAAATAAATGCACTACGTTGGTACAAAGCCGCAAACTGAATTTTTTCCCCCTTCAATAACACACATGGTTGGGTTTAGGCAACAAAAAGAAGTGGTTAGCATTAGGAAAATAGAACAGGGTTTGGCTTTAGAATCTTACTGGACACAAACACCGCTCTCTTGGGTGAAAGACGATGGTTGTTGGATCCATCCACTGCCCCTCCTGCCTGCCCCACTTGGACTTTCGCCGCCTTAACTTTCATCCTTGTCCCAACTCATTTCCCCCTGACGTTGCCAAGCGCCATTAAACTATAATGGCAACTGACCGCGTATAATGTCCACGTTAAAGGTTGCCTTTTTTCATTGGTTTCTGATGCAGCAAGCCACTGCCCAAGCGCTGGATTTCGACGACTCCAGAGTGAGACTGTGCTTATATGTGGCGAGGTCAGATTGAAAATGTATTGGGTCCTGTGCTTGCTCGACACATTCCACCAGAGTACTTTTTCACTCTTTCTACCACATCAATAGCTCTGAATGTCTAACAATGACAGAGCCTGGTGCATCTCATACACACATACTAAAGGGTGTCCCGAGGGTAACTCTGCCCGAGCAGTGAATTTTGATGCCCTGGGTGTGACAGCAGGCTGTTCAAACGCTCCACTGTGCTGAAGGGAACTGAAGTCGAGTGGTAATCCTCTGCAAGTTTGTCATTACGAGCAACACCTTTCATTTTACATTAAGTCATTTGATCAATTCTTATGATAAAAAATATATGAAACATTTTGATTATAGTGCAGCTTTAAATGATGAGACTGAGTGATGTTGGGGTGAGGTGTTTATCACAAGAAAAGTTTGATTTATTCATTTACAAAATATGAAGATAATGCGCATTTATTGAAACGTTACTGTGTTGCTGCCAAAATAACGACTTTGTGCAACTGACCATAAATCAGTTGTTAAAAACGCGCACACTGCATTGTGTGTTTCATAATTAATATATATTCATAATATAATTCAGATGAAAAATAAGAACTATGGTGCTTTTCACTACACTGCTTATCTTTGTAAGAGATTTAGACTTCACTGATGTTGTTGTGGTGTAGAAGCATGATATAGTGAGCAAAACATTAAACATATTACTCCAATTTGCAGCCAAATCCTTGAGAAAGACCGATCTAATCTTTGGGTTAGTGGCAACAATCTATAACAACTCAAAATATTTGGGGTTTTAGCAGTAGGGTTAGAATATTTTTTTGCTCTCGGGTGCAGATTTCAAATGCTACTTGGTTTGCATCAACTGGAAAGTTTTTCAGATTACATGAATGTAAAAAAAAAAAAAAAAATAATAAAAAAAAGTAAATAAAATATCTTGCTACTTAGTTATAATGAGCTCAGTAGCTACAGCCCTATTTTCATCCCCACTGTCCCTAAAGGTGATGATGATGATCTGAGGAGAAGGAGGAGGAGGGAAGTAGGAGGAGGAGGAGGAGGAGGAGGAGGAGGGATATCACCAGTTAATAACCTCAGCCTCCTCTGCCTGTCAGCATCATGATCGCAGAATGTAACGGGAACCCCTCAACAGCGGAGCCGCGCCGTGATGACTGTCCGCGGGCAGAGCTGCAGCCCAGTGACGCTTGACATCTCTGCCATCCAGTAGTTGATTCCCTCAAGCCGCGCGGTGTGATTCTGGAGCCTTGGCACACTCTCACCACTCAGAGGCTGCCTCTCCGGCGCGTACTTTGCTCCGACACATTCCTCCGAGGCTTCTCCTTCCTTCTATCTGGGGATTTGAAACTTGAGCGACTTTTACCGTCGCAGGCAGAGAAACAAAAGGTCGGACGGATAGTGTCAGCGTGGTGAATGTAGCGGCAGGCAGGCTGGGTGTCTGTCTGCGGGGCGCACAGCGGTGCTGCTGGACCAGCCGAGAACGCACCAAGTCCCGTCCCACATCCCCGTTTTACCCCCCCGTGTCCCGAACACAGCAAACATGATTCTCCTCGGGACTGTGCTCGCTCTTTTCTTCTCAGGTACGTTCACTAATTTCACTATTACAATAAAAAGAAGAAAGGATTTAATGTTTTTGGTGACGCGCAAAAATCACAGTCTTTGTCTCCTTGACTCGCAAGTTAGATAAGATGAGGATGGAGAGTCGCACTTCATTTGTAGCCTCACATTTTGCTCCAAAGTAAAGAGAGATGTGTCTGCATCTTGTTGTTATCTACTCCCATTACTCCCAGTTGCCTTTTTTGTGGCTCCTTTGGTTAATTTCACGCTCTTGGTGCCACGGGGATGGAAAGAAGAGTGTTTCATTTCCTCCTAACTTTTAAGCACAGTGAAAAGAAATCTTATGACCATTTAAATCCCCAAGTATAATATTGTCCCAATATATCAGTGTTTGGCTGCGGTCCTGTGCTCTGAGTTCGAGCAAGATATTAAATCTCAGCTATTTCTTTATCCAAAGCGCCACTAGGCTACGCCCTTCCAGCTCCGAGCACTGCACGGAAACTTTCAAATGATGACAGAAACATGCTGACTGAAAGACTGGCAGAGCCTCAGAAAGACAGCTGTTTTATTGTTTGGGGTGTTTTTGTTATAGATTTATGGAAGCTCGAAGAATCCCTCTGATTTGTCATAATAAAACAGCCCACAGAAAGGACATTTTACAACATTTTAAATATAAAATTAGCTTACAGATTTATGACAGTTCTGAAATTATGCATTTTTAAAGCCATATTTGTCCCATTTTATTTGATTTCACTCTATTGGCAGAATAAAATTATGAAATTTTCAGATGAAAAAAGGCATGAAAAGTACAAAAACAGTTAATATAGCCTATAGGATATAAGTATATGTCTGTATAGATTTGACTAGGCTTTATAAGTTCCAGAAAACAAGAAGGGCCAATGAACAGAATTTGATCCTGCATGGGCCTAATGTTGTATTTTGTCCCATTTGCAGACGACCAAAAATGCATACAAAGTACTATGTGTGTGTGTGTGTGTGTGTGTATACATATGTATATATAGCTGTTTTTCTACATATGCCTGTATAGATATAAGTAGGCTATAAGAGTGTCCAAAAATGTGATCCCCAAAGAGATTTTAAGATGTTGAACGACTTTATCTTGGCTAACTTTGGAAAATACTGGGGCATGAAATACATGTATTTTAGGGGCCCATAGTTTGGATGTGTGTATACAAGGACAAAGAGACCGTGACGACATGAAGAGATGTTTTTCCTGTTGTGTTTACAGTTCATGTGCCCTTACGGAGCTCTTTACAGTCCCAGAGATGTTTTTTTTCTTGGTTGTTGTAAGTAAAGAACATTTCTATCAAGTTTCTCATAGGCTATCTATTCAGATATTCTAGAACCACTAAACCTTGTTTCGGACCTACAGTAGTAGTGCAGTTTATACGCCCTTATGGATCTCTTTACAGCTCCAGAGATATTTTTCTTGCTTATTAGAGAACCTTTATAGGGCATTATTTTTTATCAAGTTTCTTTATAGCTGTTTACAGTAAATGTTTTGAACCACTAGGCCTTGTTTTGGACCTACAGTACAGTTTGCAAAATGTTTCATTTTATTCCATCGATTGTTTTTTAATGAGGGCTATCCTCCCTGATAGAGTCGTGACTGCTTTATAATGTGGAGAGAACGCTTCAATTCTTCCTTCATTTGTAGGAACAGTATTATTAATGGGCATGGTTAAAAATAATTTTTTAAAAAGGAAGACTGAAAATACCTTGATCGTTGCATGAAATTGTTTCTTAAACACACACACAGGAACGCTTTTCTCAGAAAGTTCAAAATCTCAAACCAAATGCAAATTTGGACTTTCTTTACATTTTTGAATATACCATCTGGTATTGATGTTTATGCTGCTTTGTGTTGACGACTTTGTAAGGAATGGACCTGCTGCTAGCTGTGAGCGTGGTACTGTCCTGACGACGACCTTGTTCAGTTTATTCCTTTGTCTGTGTGTGTGCTTTGTATAGGGTTAGTGTGTGCAGGAGCCTGTGTGTGGCCACTCAAAGCTTGTGAATGAAAAGAAAACAGAGAGAAAAAGGGGGGCTTTTTTTACAGCACCATAAACGTACTCGAACAGAACTTCTCTATTGTTTGTGGCACAATGCTGGGTTGTGGTCAGATCCTAAAACAACCATTTTGTGGTGCAATACGGTGGAGTTTGTGTTGTCATGGACAAGTGTGAAGGCAGTTTTAGCTAAAGAGCTAAAAGGACATTTTAGCAAGAGTGCATGGCTCTTTATTCCGTATTTTATTACATACAGTATTGATAGTAAGTATGGGTCAGTGAACAGATCAAAGCTGGACAAAGAGATAGAGAGCGATGCAAACCTCTTTGATGTTGGGCGTGATCCTGACTGAACAGCACGAAAACAAACTGCTTGATACTTGTTACTGAAGATCATAAAATGTAGAGGGAACACAAGTCTGTCGCACCCAGGTCAGTGGGCCAAAAACCTTTCTTGTCATTGACAATAAAGAATTTGCAAATGAACATACAAAGAACTTATGCAAATCATTCTAAGTCCTGAAGATTAGATAACAGCAGCGGATTGGTCAACATATTCCACACATTGTGGGTAGAAACCATTGGAAGTTTGTTAGAGACACACGTATGAAACTGATTTAATTTGTAATCAATGTCCAGGTTAAACAGGGAGAAATGTATAAGCATAAAACAAAATTTGAGTGCAAATTTAAAATCTGGTGCTATGGTCAGAGTTCATCCTTCCTCTTTTCAGGTTGTTTTTTAAAATCAGATTCTGAGCGCTCACTAGTAGTGCTTCAACAGGGCACGCCCATGTCTGTCTGCTGTTGTTTTTATTTCTTTAAGCCTGGCGTTAAGACAAAAACAGGTCAAGAGCTGACGGAGCACAGGGGGAAGTCACCTGACATTACTAAAAAGGTGGTGTCTAACAGGATGACCAATCAGTTTCAGTTTCAGATGACTTTATGTGCCAAAACTGCCTTCACTCCTTCTCAGATGTGGACTTCAGTTACAACACTTTACTCAGTGTCTTTAATTGTATTAATACATGTCTATACATAGAATTAAATCTGTAATATGGGATATGGAAAGATTCCTTTGTAGGATTGGTTTCACTTTCTGTGGGTTCAGAGCACACTTATTTGCAGTGATTTTGGTATTCTTGGCAATTATACTTTGACAACTTAGAAAGTGTTAAAACTGATTCAGGTCCATTGGACAATTGAGGCATGTCTTAACAGTCAGACTAATAACCCAAAACCCTGAAAAAAATGCTGGCATTGTTTGGGGGTCAAACGGTCCAGATGACCCCGGCCCAAGGCCAAGGGGGAGGGCCCATAAAAAAGTTCTATGGTTGACCCTTAAATGGGATCAAGTACAACAATTTACTTACTGACTTATATCATTAACGATACAAGCTAAATGTTTTTACATGATAAATACATTTATTTTTTAGCACTGAAACACATTTCAACATCTATCAGATGCTCCCGCCCACACAGGTGTTGTGAAATGGTGTGGTCCATCTGACATGGGTCAGGTACGCGATGCGCAAAACTCAGAAGTGCCACTGAAATATTACTGCATACTGGGGTCCCTGAACAGTCTTGGTATTACATAAATTGGGGATGACTGGAAAACATAGAGTTAACAGCCATATACTCTCTACACTATTTTAGTTCTGTACATAGTTTAACTGATACATGATTAAAGTAGCCTCAAGACTGATAAATGAAAAAACAAATTATTGGTTCACTCATAATTTGATCTTGTGATTTAATACCATGCAATAACTTTGTCAATCAATGTCTGATTTGACTTTTCTCTAATCATCAATCATCATTCATTGGACGGCATTTTTCTCAGCCCAGGACAGACATGTGACTTCCTCTGCTTTTCAGAATAAGAAAATAAGGTCTAAACACAGAGAAAAGACAAAATACACATGGAAATATGATTGATTGGATTATATTCATAGGACATATCAAATTTTGCATGGCGATGTTTATATCGTCATTTCTCCCCCTCCCCCACAGGTGTGGCTTAGAGGCCCACTTTTGAAAATGTTGTCCCCCTGCCCATATTTCATAACAGCTGGCCTGACCTTAACTAAAGTGCTGCTGTTGCCTCAACCTAAGACAGGAGTATGAATGTGAATCGGAGGTTCGGATGTCAAGATCCTACACTTTGTACACCTGCCTTCCTTGCCAACCACCTCATTCTGATGCCTATGCAGTGCATGAACGTAGTGTATTGGAACATGAAAGAAATGTTGTCTCTGAACATAATCCACGCAGCAATTATATTGCCACAATGATGAAATTAAGGAAGCAGTTTTTTAACATATGAGCGAAGTCCTAGGAGACAGGGTTGCTTGTTTGAGAGCACAATCCCAGCAGCGATGTCTCAGTGAAAAACAACGGCTTTTCATGTCTCAAAGGAAAGGCAGCAATGTCTCAATAAAATCAGCGTTTTTTTGTGCTGTTGGAAACGCAGAAGTGACTCGTTAAATCACAACCAGTTTAGTTGTTTATTGGTCTCAAACAGTGGTCTGCAGCTTGGCAGGGGCCACACCATCCACCTCTCCTACACCTCCTGAAAGTCAGCTCATATACTACGTCACTTTAAAAATGTTGATATGATTGTACCAATGTAATGAATTCATGAATTGCAGAAACATAGTATGCCAACACTTTCTTGTGGTGGCTGGGCTGCTAATACAGTTGGTAAATTATTGAGACAATGACTATACTGAGGATTACACCACTTTCAAAGCATTTTTGTGTGTTTATTTCCCTCCTTGGAAACACACGTGGATATGTATTATCAAATCATCATTTCTACTTTTTCAATTTTTCATATTCACTGAGCCACTCCACATCCCCTCAGGTACCCCTGGTAACAGCAGATGTACCCTGTGGTTGGGAATCAGTGGATTATATCACTGCTGTAGCAGGACTAATGAAATTCCCCCACAGTGGCTTTATGTGAGTGCAGCCTGTACTGCAGCACGG